TGATTGAGATGGCTCGTGAAATCCGACCGTTGTGAAGTTGGGAGAGATTAGAAGGGGCGGGATGCATTCAGTCAGCCCATAGATTGAATTGACCAATCAAGCTGCAGAAGTTAATCCCGTGAGCAGCATTGATGAGGTCAACATTAAAATTTCAGTGCTAGATCATCCGTAATATGAAATATGTTTTGAGATCGGCAAAACTTAGGGCAGTAAGCAGAATCAAAGTGCAAAATAACGTAAAGCTTTCTGGATTGGTTTCAACACTAACAATCTCTTGACTGAAGTGAGTGAAAATAATATTTAACTCAAGTTAATCAGACTTGTTATTCAATTTTTTAATAAATTTAAACAACTGTCAACAAGCCTGGGTCTTAAAATAGTTGGTATTCTTTGTAGATTACACCATCAACTTATTTGCTAAATCATCAACTAGTGAAATCGTATGAAGTAAACTGTCCGGAGACTAGTCTTGGTGCTATAGTAATTTTTATTCTAAAAATACTTTTGGGTAGTTATAAGTATTAGATTCGATTCATGGGGAATTCGAAGTAGCAGCAATATTGCATTCAAAAGGATTACATGCATTTCGACTTGTCAATAGTCTATAGCACTTAAATGCATCCACACAGTGGATAAGATCACAGAAGGCGTTTCTACGTTTAAAGAACTAGCGTACTTAATCCTTTAATAAATGCAAACAGGAGGCTTGAAGAAGAATAAAAGTAGAACCTTAGTGAACATTTTTTGATGTTTTACTACTTCGGACAAGATTCCAGTAACTGATGATCGTATTGAGAATAAATATATGATCACCAAATACTTATATCGAATTCGGTAACCAATAAGCTAGCGCTGACACGTTGACGTAACTTCAGAAATCACATTTCTTTTTAATTTGGTTCCTCTTCCTTCAATTACCATGGTTTTAAATAGAATAATGGGCTAGGGAAGGAAAATGGTCTGGTTGGATTTCCAAAAATGCGTTGGTTCGTTTAACTTAAAATATTTTTAGTTGTTTTATAACCTAGCATATACAACATAATAATTATGGATTTGACAGTGCCATGACTTCTCAAAATTACATTCAGAGGATTACATTGGGCTGAAATAAAAATTGCAGTGTTTGAATAAAAACAGCTGTGAAAATCAACATGAAGTTAAAGTACACTGCATTAGAATGTCAGTACTGAGATAGTCACGAATTAATTGAAAAAAATTTAAAAAAACTAAACGTGACCGCCAACAGTCCACAATTATAAAATGTAGGAAAATAAGACAACTGTAGAAAGAATTTTAATGATGGCTTAGCCTAAATTAAATCAACTATATGAACCTTACTCCAGCCGTCGGCTTATTCGTACTTTGATGGTGTTACGAATAAAACTCGAGCATCCATGTCTGTTTACTAGATTAGCAAGCGACGTATGTAATTTGATGATAGTTAAAACCGGGATAAATCCTTGTTGGTCGTTAACGTTCAATGAAGCAATCTTGAAGAGTCTTACATGAGCACGTAAAAACTAAAGAAATCCCATTATTGAAAAAAGATTCGTGGAAATACATAAAAAAATTATCATGAAATTAGGGTTATAGAATAGTTGTAATAAAAAGGAATCGAATTAACTCAGGCTACATTGCTCGGCTAAGGTCTTTTTGATTCTGTTTTTATCCTTTGCTACAGGAATTAAAATTTAATTAAGTCGATTCTACTCAAAAAGAAACTCTACCATTTGTAAATTGAACGTTAATGAAAAAAGGACGTTGAACATTACAATGCACTCCCACTATTTTCGCATGATTTAAACTCGACGACTCCTAGGCAAATTTTAATAATATTAATAAGTGATGTGATTAAATTATAGGCAAATTAAATTATAGCCAATCAGTCTAATAGATAGAAGAAGTTTTGTGACAGCGAGTAAGTGCATGAATTTGAAGCTAGCTGGAATCAAGAAAGCGATTGAACTCAATCTAAATGAAAACATCACGAGCACCAACACAAATTTTCACACGTATTCTTTGGACTTAAGCCCATCTTGCAAAGTAAAATAAAAAACCGTCCCAAATGTAGAAATATTATTCAAATCAACCGTTGTAAGAATGTTCGTAAACTCCATTTAAAAAATAGTCACTAATCTTCCCAAATAGGTGACTGCCCATATCCCTGATAAAAAAATTAAAAAAAGGATCATTAACGTATGCAGTGTTTAAAGACACAGATTAACAATAATAACAAGTTTAAGGTTCCGTGTCTTTTGGAAAAGGACAACTTTGCATGTAAAAGAGAGCACACAGAAAAGCGATCGTGTCTATCCAAAAATATATCATATTTTTTAATTAAACTAGAAAAAAAGCTTTAAAAACATATTATTGGAGTTAATGGCTAATGGTTACAGTAAATATGTTGTGTACGTTAATCATGAAGTCAAAAAACAATGGGTTGACACGTATAGTAGACCGAGTCCACTTGTTCTCAAAAATCTGGGAAAACATTATACCATCGTTTAATCTGCTAATCTTAACCATACAGCTAGAAGTAAAAAAATGTATAACAAATTAGATATTTGAATAAAGGTAAAACTGTTGCTAATTAGTCCTCAATGTCCTTGGCAGTTAAAGCTGAATCCACGTAAAGTAAATTTTAATAGCTTGTTCTGATCAGATTATACTTAAGAGCAATACCGGAAATAATTAACAGGCTTTTTCTCAGTAATGCAATTAAAATATTGTAAGGCATTTAATTGAATTGAAAATTACAAACTTGATTTTTGAGTGTCCCTTAGTGTGAACTGACGTTCAGTACGTGTGTGTTGACGTGTGGCTGAGGTCTAAATTGGTCTGGGTATGTCTGCTGGATTCGAGACACCGTCTACCAGCGACCCTTCAGCAGCAGCATCAGCAGCAACAACATCCAAACGCACGGTAACATATATATGTGGAGGTTCGTTTGATTTAAAATAACCTGAACATTTTTATTCACTGCTGTTGTTAGTAGTTTTAAGATGTATTAATGAAATGTTTAAGCCCTAAGACTTGCTTTTGAAACTAAAATTTCTTGTTACCAAAGCCTGTACCATCGTCTCTGATCAAGTATGGTACGGCAGGCCTCATTCTGTTTGTTAATGTTAGGGACCGGTAAAGTTCCGTAGTTTTCTGGGCTATCTTTGTCTACTATGTGCTTAATCGCGTAAAGTTTAGTTGAGAGACCAAGATTTGCAATGCTTACCATATTTAACTTCATTCGTAAGGTACTGAAGAAATCTGCTTAAAGCGTGGATGTTGCTTTTGCTGTCTTTTCGTTAACATTATTTGAAATACCTTCGTTTTTGAGTGAACGAGACATGGAAGCTAGTCTGGTTTCCCATCTTTTTTATTTGTACCCGAATTACAGGGTAAATGTCCCCAAAAGGGGACTAAGGTTGTTTCATAGGCTAATAACATGTGTTACGATTTAACCTTGTTTAAATATGTGGACTGTGGTTTTTTTCGGAATATCAGCGTGCTAAATTGCCGCTTTTTTCTTTCTCCAAATGCTGATATCAGTGTTTCCTTTAGGGGAAACTGGAAGTCCATAGTTAAAAATAATGGCGCTGCTTTGTGCTTGTTCTCGTTGGTTATGGAGTCAAAAAAATACTGTTTGTGGTAATGTTGTTTAAGTAAAGCAACTTTGAATGCTAGCACCTAGTTATGGGTTTTTCTAGTCTGAGGACTGCAAACCTTGCCGTGACGCGTTGGTGTAAGCATACAATTACTGGCAGATGGGAGTCAGCGTAACAACACGGGTTCCACGTTAAAGGGCTGTGGTTTCGTACCATCTAGTCCTGTTAGATGGCGCGTCCACCTACCATTAAAATCATTGCTTGGGACAAGATTTAATTGATTATTGTTCTTCACGTTTGCAGTTAGTCGATGGTGTAGCCTTTAACCATCTTTAGTTTTTTTATTAACGAAATTTAAAGGGGTATCAGTCTACTATTTTAAATCGTTTTGGTAGTGAATAGAGTTGGTTTAAATGCTCCCTCGTACACTGCGTCTATTTTTATGTTGTTCGTGGGAAATACTAACAGTCAATCTTTTCACAACTTCTCACACATTTTGTGGTCTTCATATATTAAATTGACAGTTAATTAGGCTCAGATTCGTTAGCACTTTTTTTGCATAGCGATTGTTTCGTGTTGATTTCTTAAAAAAGTCTACATCTATGATGTCAGTTAAATAGTGGGGGCGTCTTTGTATAAAATTTCCTTTTACTACTGCGAAATCGACAACTTGATTGCATTTGGAGGGCTGTTAACTGAGATATTTCTCGCACATTCTTTCCTAAAAAGACAGGAAGTCAAGATATAAAAGCATTTTGTATGTAGTAATGCAAGTAGTTTGCTTTTCATTTATTGTTTTTTGTGTAACTCTAGACAACCTGATTAAAGACCTTGGAAAAATCGGTCAAATCTACCTCGAGTAAATGGCAAAAGATGCTTCTTAACTCTTAGTGGCGCATACAAACCCAGCACACCTTTTATTTGTTATTTGGTCTTGTTGCTGTAGATTCCATCGGTAAAACAGACGATCAGACATTTAAGAAATCTTCAGAAAAGAAAAAAATATGCTTGACTGTCGACACCTTACTAATTCCAGTTTTTTACGATATGTACAATAGTTAAAGGCGAATTAGACTATCACTGTTCGTACGCACCAAGCTAAAAGAACATTTATGCAGGCGCACAGATATTTTCTCAACCCAAACACCCACTGATCTGATCGTTCAAAGCTACGGGTCAGAGACCAACCTCTCTTGCTTTCTCCTCAAGCAAGAAGGGAGTTTTCTTAGAGATGGTCGACAGTTGGCGCTATTGTAGCTGCTCAATGCCTACTTTTATCTGCAAACATTCACCACCAGCTGTATGTGTGTATGCAATCCATGCTGGCTCAAAAACCATAAATGCTTTTTTGTAAAACAAGTGACTGTGTAATACGCAAAATAAACTTGGTCTTTCTTTACAGAATGCCGAGCTGAAACGCCCATTAAGCCGCGAGAATTGGTCCGATGCTTGGAGTGTGGCCACCGTGTTCTCTACAAAAAACGATCAAATCGAAGTAAGCACATGTCTTTGGAGTCTGGCTTATTAAGCCACACTAGTTCTAGGTGATAGTAGAACATGCTGTTTCGATTCATTGCCTGTTGTGGGACGCAACGGATTCCATCTAAATAATCAACAAATAGCTCGGAGTAGGACGCCTCGTGTTAAATGATTGTGTTTCTTGGGCCAGTTGCTGCCCATTTATCATGGCAACACTATTTAGCTAGTGCAATAAATGCTCATTGTGACCTCCTTAAGTGATAGTACAATTAATTGGTCTTAATTTTCGATATTTCAGTTTCTCTGTTTCATTTTCTAGTGAGCGTCTTCGAGGCTCGGTAGCCGTTTGGATACCAAATTCTACTCAACTTGTGTAAATAAATTCAAATAAACTTCCTAATCGGTAATTGGTGTTTATAATGACTGGCTAGGGCGTAATTCTCATTGGTTTCGTGAATTTGTAAGCCATACATGTGGTTTTTGTCGGAATAGTCAGTACGACTGCCTGACTGAGATCACTCAAGGCACCAATCTACTTGTATTTTTTAAAACCATTCATAATTCCAGCATAAGCCTTTGCAAGTTCGCGATAAAAGTCCTGGTACACCTCAGCTAGGTATCGGGGGTCGAATAGGCTGCGATTGTCAAGTTCTCCGTCGTCGCCTGGACTTTCCTGCTGTTTTTGCTTTTCCACTTCGCTCTCAGTCTTTCTCTCCGTCAGTAGTGTCTTCGGGCTTTTCAGAGAAGGTTTCTTGTTGGCGTAGCTGTAGAAGCATTGCGAACTAGGTGGGTATCGCAGGTGACTCTGAAACGCAAAAACATGAAATAATGTGTGGTCGCAGAGGTGGACAATTCGGGTGACATGCCAAATCAAAACACATCGTCCGCGGATGCAAAGCTCGATAGGATAGGGTAAAGCTGTCGGGCTGAAATTACAGGTAAGGATCAGTTATATGCAAAACCTGGGTGGAACTAGGAAGCAAACACCCATTATCCAGTGGGCGTAAACACCCGTACTGCAATCCCAACCAAGTAAATGACACCAGATTAATGGCTTAACGGGCTCTGGGTTTTGTTTACAACATGTGATTGTCAGATTTGATAGGTACGTCAACGGCGATCTTGAAATTAGTAACTCGACCGCACGTAAGCTCGTGCATCGGTGGGCTATGGGTCGTTTAGACCGAAGTCCTCCAATTATACGGGCCGGCATGATGTCGTACACAAGAATAAGAAAATTCGAGGTGCCAACGACGAAACAATGAGGACCTGTTCTCACTCCCCTCATACGCAATCTAAAAGGGCTTCCAAATTGCAACATTCAAAATATCAAAGAAACACATTTTAGGTGGAAGTAATTGTTACAAAGAGTGGCCTATTTCCTCTGGTTGAGTTGTCCCTGGTACCGGACACGCTGGCTGCTTGCAAAGACCATTGGGAAGGCCAGTGTCTAAACAACACAAGCAGTTTAGACTGCAAATTCCGATTACGTCGTTTATCTTGCTGTCTGCTTGACGTCACATTTCCCGGAGGCCAACCGTGTACTTTCTCAAAATATGCCCAACGAGCCATAGAGGCTGTTCATTCCATTGAGAAATCGGAATAACCAGGACGGGTGATTTTCTTGGGGCTAACAGGTAAAAACAACCCTGACTTAAATTATTGCGCGAGTGTGCAGAGGTTAAGACCACCTAATAGATTGAGTTTGCTTAAAAAAGCAACTCAATGAAACAAACTAGCAAGGTGGGTGCATGTGGCCTATTTTGAAGTGCAGAACAAACTGCACACTATGCTAAAATGTTGGTCCAGCTCCACGAAGACAGCTTGCAGTAGTTCGCTAGAGGACTCAAGGGTATTGTCGCAGATAGAAAGCAACTTGTTCGGCGTAGTATGCTTTCCTAGAGATTGGAACACGTCAGCGTAACCTACACGAGACATACATCCACCCAAACCGCAGCTAATCCAGTAAAGTCGGATGATCGGCGTTTTGTGGCAGAAAAGAGAAATCCAGTGCGCCTACCTGACAACACAAATAGACCTGTTGAGTTGGTCTGAACATCCGACCGAGAGTCTCCGCAACACACATAACCGAACTACAGTGGAAAAAGAATAAACGGGGTGTCATTACGCGGACAATTCAACACTACTGTGATTGGGGGCGTTGGGTATGCACGGCCTAACGTCTGAAATCGACGACAGGAGGGAAGGAATGGGCTGAGGCTATGGGAGAACATGTGGGCTAACCTGAAGGGGCGATGTAAGTACAACTACTATATACCCGTGTCGATTGACGCAGGCTTGTGTTTGGGTTTCGCATGCACGGAGGGAACCACCGAGCTGAACATACACGCGGATTGTGCACGTAAAAGACAGTCTGGCTTACATATTAAAGCAAACTTGGCAAACCTCGTTCACGTAAGTAGCCACAGTAGAGGATTACAGTGGACGATGAAACAACGTCCTGTAGCACTTGATTACACGAAACTTTTATACTCTTAGAGGACTTAGATTCTGCGTACAACACAAGAAAAATCAAGATTTCAATTCATCCGATAAACTAGCCGACAACATGAAAGGAGAGTAGCGTTGTCTTTCCCAAAATGGTGCAACACTTATTGTAGTCTGAAGTCACATGTCGGGCAGCGGGTGTGGCCGTTTGATTCAAACAGGAACACATCCCAAAAGGGTGTGCCTTGCGTAGCGTCGATGCAAAACTAGGCATGTCTAAGGGTATTCCATCAAAATCAACTAAGTCCAAGTGTGCGTGAGCACTCCTTGCTGCCACCACACAGCAATCTCAGTCGTGGTGATCAGTTCAAACGGCCCAGCGCACTCCAGTACAATACACTACGTAACGTGAAACAGCGATTTTACTGATTAAAATACATAGCAGTATTAAATAGTAGATATTTGTATATATCGAGAATAGGAAGTAGCGAGAGCATGAGAGGGGAAAGAGAAATAGTCCTTGGGCGACAGTAAATGAAGGACAGGGCAGTAAAGGCTACCGATGGCCTTAGATGGGAACGTCTGTCTGTGATAACGGGTGGTCAGCGGCGACGTCTACCAGATTACATACGAAAAGGGGTTAGTCGGAACCAACGCGATTTATACAAGCAGCAGCAAAGGGGAAGAAAGACGCTACTAATTATGATTAGTAGTATTGTTGGAGGGAGAGTGCGTCGAGTTGGCGCTTCGGCGAGATGCCCGCGTTGAGGGTCCACCAGTGTTGCCGCTGCCAAAGAACAGACGCGAGTAACGGCGTGGCCGAATGCCAGGCAGACGGGAGCTTTCGGAGTTGGTCGTGGTGAAAGACGCACTACGACGGCTCGAGTTTTGTACTGGCGCGCGGTTCTGAATACTATTTCCACCGTCTCTTCCGGCTGCTAGGGAAAACAAGCAAGCGGAATCTGGTTACAAATTTTACCTCCTCGCAGTTTGGTGATTCTCCAAACATTCAAAAGGCACTACGCAGGAATTAAACTGGCCTTACACTACACTAGCGTGCAACGAAGAACTTGCAAATACTTTGAGTGGCAGGGTTTAATTCTGCAGAGGTTTTCGGTCAACTTCTGAAAACGGTCTCAGAACGACAGTGTTTTGTACTTAGACGGGATAAACTGGAGGTTATCGTCGATAGATGGTCTTATAAAGAACTGACATGGGCACAATGATGCAAGACCTGACTGCGACGAATAAGACTGAACGTGCGGCCTCCGAGTGACACTAAGATGAGCGGGCCAGCAGAAATGACACAAGATAACTCACCTCCACCAGGACGTCTCCGGCCTCTATCTCCAACAACGAAGGAACTAAAATTTTCTCCACTATCGACCTGATCTTCCTCCCCGTCACTTTTCTCTTCTTCTTCATCCTCCTCCTCCTCCTCCTCTTCCTCTACATTATCTTCCACTTCCTCGTCGAAACCATCCTCTTCCATTGTTGCAGTCATCAACTCGACAGCGGCCTCTTCTTCCTCGTCATCCTCAAGTGACTCCACATCGTCGTCATCATCGTCGAATTCTTCGTGATGGTGCAGCTCGACTTCCTCCCCCATAGATATATCTTCTTCCTCCTCCTCTTCCTCGTCCGTTGAAGCGAGAGTTACCACAGGCACGTACCTGGCATTGGACCGAGGAGAGGCTGCCTGCCTTCGACGCCACTGCCTTCGTGACACACCGTTCGAAGAGGGAGGCGTGTAAAGATGCCGCTTCGGCGGGCTAACACGGCCATTGGACACGCCATTGGTAGAAACTGTGGAGGCATCGGTTGGAGAGGCTGTTTGTTCCATCGGCTGACTACTGGAATGGAATGCGGGCGGGTCAGGTGGGATTGTGGACGCAGACTGCTGGAGGCGAATTTCAGTGGCGTACTTCGACGGAGAAAGATGGTAGAGAAGGAAGTGACCAAGCGTCTGTGCCTCCTCGAACTGACGGTCCGCAAAGCACTGCTGTAGTGCATGAAGGCCCTGTTCTATTGCTGGTTGAGGCGGCAGATTGTGGGCTTCGGCTGAAAAACGGAGTAGCACGAAACGAGAAATAAGTGCTTTAAATGACGTAGTTATACACGAAGACACGCTGCTAACACATATTTGAGATAGCAATTATTCGTCAGAAAGCATCTGGGAAAACTGCAGCCTACAAAACCCACCAGTAAATCAATCGATGAATTTTGCTACTAGTTGAAGTGAATTAAAAAAATCTAATAACCTGTGCACAATTTTTTTCTCTAAAAACGCCGACCTTACTCTTAGTAGGTGTTACATATTCTGCTTCAGGCATAGGCTTGATTGACAAGCGGTGATTTAATTTAAACAGTTTACGCGTTGGCGAAATACTGTGAGGTATTGTGAAGGTGCAGCAAGGCGAAAACAGTTCGCCACCAGCAGCAGCAGCAGCAGCAGCTGTAAAATGCGAGCGATAGTGCCGAGGCGGAGACGGCCTGCTTGATTAAAATGTCGCAACATTCACCAGTGAACTCAGCTAACACTAAAACGGCGCAAATCAGGTCAAAAAAGTTTGGTGAGGCCACAGAACTCAGCGACGGTGAAGCGCACAAACTAGGACCCACTTAATAACCAGGAATTATCCAACTTGTAACTCACATGGAATGAGTATATGAATAGGAAGCACAAAAAGTTAAAAGCACCATACAGATTGAAACTTGTAACACGAAGACATATCTACTGTGGGCTGTGGCCAAATCGCATCCAAAAATCCCTCCCGATACCGGAATTTCCACACAATATTGCAGACTGTTTCAATGATCCCCAACTTAATTGAACGCGGCACTTCGCTCCCAAGCTTTACCTACACAAAATACCTTTTTTTAACATTACAGATGTCCTACATTTCACTAAATACTGGAAATACTTCAGATAACCACCCATGGGCTACTTGACAGCTATCTACTGCAAGTTTCGACGCATATAATGAAACGTGAGCGGTATTGAAAGAAATCCCCATGAAAAAGTTAACGGATTAGTAAAAGAGGACTGGACTAACCGAAACAGTCACTTCATTGGAAAAGACGCCAACAATTGGCACTACAGCGACAGCAAGACTTGACGAATGAGGAGGAGGAGGAGGAGAAGGAAAAGCAAACTTACTGAGAATGGCACTATTAATAAGGCTGGCAATGTTGTCACGCCAAGAGGGGTCGAGAAGGCACCGTAGGGGGCAGTCGAGGGAGGAGGGAGATGAGTAGGCCAATAGACTCACAGATTGCTGTTTAAAAAGGAACGCCATAACAATTAGTCAGGCGGAAGACCTCTGACAAACGTAAGAGACTCAAATGGCAGGGGCGTGTTTGTTTACGAAGACTAGGGCCCAAGAAGAAAATGCACAGGGTTTGGCAAAAATGGCAATGAAACCTCGTCACTCAAACAAAATGATCATCCTAACCAAGGGAGGAATCGATAGTAGAGAGATAGTAATCTTGCAGATCCTACAACGGACGTTCTTCGTTTCCCCCTTGACATGATACCAAGACTAGTTAAGAAAGGCGATTTGTGATGTACCTGAATTAAGCGTTCAGTTTCGCGAGACAGGGACCCGTACTTCTTTTTAACCTGCTTGGCCAAATTCATGAGAGATCGACTGAACTGAATCTGTCGTAGAAGGCGACGTCTCTCCTCACAGTCATCATCCACTGAGGCGGTTCCGTCTAAGTCCTGTCGTCTTCCCAACAAAGAGCAAGTCTGGGAGGCTGCAGGCGCCGAAGAAGCCATGTCAGAGGTCGACCTCGATGCAGCATTGTCTACGGATGGGGATAAGATAAAGCCTGAATCACTTGAAGCTTTAGTTAAACCCAAAACGATGTCTCCAGTATTTGAGGCAGCACATTTGCCGTCACCAATGCCTGAAGGAGTCCACGACCCCACCTACCATCAACGCTGTCCGTCTCCATCTCGGTGGATTCCGAGGATGCTTCCCTGGGCTGCTGTTTCAGACTCTCACCGAGGCCGAATCCATCGTCGTCATCGTAGAACTCCTCGGCCCCCTCCTCCGCCTCGTCAATGCCGCCTAGAGCGTCGTCTGTGGAAGGCTGACTGACAGAAGAGTGAGGGGGGTAAGGGGCTCCGCTTGGGAGGTTCACAGCGTGCGTTTCGGAGAGGGATTGTGGATGGGGATTCGCGGTAGCAGTTGTAGGAAGGTGGTTGGTGTTGGGTTCTATGGTGAGACTACTGTCGATGTCCATAGCATCACAGGAGGTGGCGGCTGAAGAGCCGGGTGCTGGAAAGTGGTTCTGTGGGAAGGGAGAAAAGCACAATTTACTTCTTTTGGCATAGTCGAGAAAAATTAACAACTGAGTGTCGAGCCTCATTTCAGGCTGATGCAGATTTTCATAATTATGGTTGAAATTGCGCACTGAGTGTAACATAAAATTGATGTACTTGAACTTTTAAAGTGCATACGAAATGAGGTGGTGCAAATTAACTTTAAAATCAGGGGATAGACTTGATGAAAAGCAACGTGAACATAGGCTGGTACATTAAAACACTCAAAAACAATTAAGCGCCCGTAGCTGGCAGAATTAAGAAGTGGTTGCCTAGTGCAAGCACAAAAGACCACACAAAATCGACCTCACTTCACGGTCACGCTTGCGAACTTTAATGCTAGTCTGTTTGTGTTATCCAAAAAAAAACGATCGACAACAACCTTGGATGCTCATCCCAATAACTGGCATTCACGTAGGCATCATAAGAGTTAACTTTACCTAACGATAGACGTTTAGTATCCACAGTTTTCAAACTGTTTAAGCGTAGTCATAGCATGTAGGCTATACGCTCTATCAAGACGGTTCTGACGGTACGACGGACGTTAGAATGTATCCGAGTCAAACACTCGTACACATTAGAAAAAAAAATGCTAGCATTTTGGAGTGACTTGCATTTAGATGAACTCAAAACTGGAGTAAACAGAAGCCTACAACATTTTCAAGAACACACACACACACACACACAAAATAGCCCCGATTCAAGCAAGCCGAAATGCATTCGAGGTTGTAGGCATAATTAACGTTAACAAACCTTAAGACATACCTCTGAAGTAGTACATACGAATACATAGAAAATATTTCCATCTGAGATGAGTACTTGTATGCGATGACCAATCACTCGCTTTAAAAACACCACAAAGTTCATGAAAAATCGGGTTAATGAACGATGTAGCAATATCACCAACCACTTTGGTACAAATTAGTAAATCACCAATGTATGAATAAAAGGCGATTTAAACGGAAAGCAGACAGCCTAGCCCACCCCCACACACAAAGCAAGATTCTTTTCACGCCTGGTTTTGTGTTGGGGGATTGTGTGAAGCTGGGGCTGCAGACGTGATAGGTGAGTCGGTGGTTCGTGTTCGTACATGCGTTTTGACTCATGCCGAGGGATTTCGTTACACAGGGGAGCGATGAGTGATGCCAAAGTATGTTTTTTGGTACGAAAACAAAGCTAGCTTATGAGGAGACGAAATTAGGTGCAATCCAAAATACCGGTCTAATTCACCTGAGGATGTTTGGTAGATTGAATAGAAACCAGAAGCACTGAGGTTAATTAGAGCCAAATGCCGAAAACCAAAGCCTCAGTCCAGAAATAAAAGAATTGCCTTAGCGAATCTAACTACCATTCTTCACAAGTTTACCACTAAACAAACTAATCTCGACCTAAACACATCCCTAGAGTCGGAAATTTAAAAATCTAAAGAGTGACCAGTTAGTAAAACAAAACCCTATATCCCTATATCGAATTCTGGGACACTTTCATGCAACGTCTTACCTCGTTGCCCTTTCAAGGAGCGTTTCCTCGTCAATTTACTAGTGCCAATTGTGTTCGCACGCAACGCCTTTCGAAAAAAAGGCGAAGTTCGAAGTCTAAAGGTTGAGGCGGTGGCTAATTCGATGGGTTGTGGCTGAAATGTGTGCTGAGGAGACCACTCCAACACAGACCAAACGAATGACATTACCAACATTTACCCCCCCCCCCAACCCCCCAATTAAAGTGTCTAGCACTTTCAACACATTCAACACAAAAACAAGGGAATCCCAACTGGTTCTGATAAAGACTCATACACAAAAGAGCACGTTTAAAGGCAAATAAAGAACAAACGTGAACAGAAATCAGGAGTCGGGAAACAGTCTTTACGATTTTTACGAGTTGAAATCGAAAATTTATTGGCACATCGAATGCTGATAAAAGGCTTTTGAAGCAGTTCAATGTCACGGGACAAATTACGACTATAAAACGTGCACTTTTAGCTTCAATCATTCGAAACCAAGCCTCTAACTGAATCTAATTTCAAGTGCTAAAACGATGAAATATGTGCATATATTTGTTTGCGATTTAGTGCAGGAAATTCCGCTGTATTCCGTGGGTTAAATCAGCATTATTGGCAAAATGGGGAAAATCATTTGCAGTTGCTAGTGCACCATTACAGACAGACTCGGTGTGTCATTAAAACTGAAAACGTGGCACGTGCTACTAGGATAATACTTGTGTTCCTGCAACAGATAATTAATCACGAGGTTGTGGAACTTGAATGCGAGATTTTAAGCCCCCATCCACATTCATACGGTCTCCAAGAAAAATTTTCGCGATGTGAGGAGTCGGGGTAATTACTGGAGATTAATTACTGGGATAATAAATAATTTAAACGGCAGTAACGAACGGTTAAACTATTACCAAGTGAATTTGGCGTCTAAGGCGCCGACTAAAGGCTCGGCACTGTAAAGGTGTAAATAATAAATCATGGAAAAGAGGGTTCCACGAAACGGTGAACCAGGATTGATGTGAGCAAGAAAAGGCGATAGAACACGCAGATAACCTTATCTGGAAGACTGTCGCCATCGGCATCACACGTGGCCAGGGTGGGGACGGACTCGCTGGTGCAGAAACACGGTGCGTCCGCGGTTGAGGCGCTTGTTGTTGTGGCCTGGCGGTTCCTGTCCGCCGGCAACTGCCGGAGTTTCGGGTCGCTGGAGGACAAGGGGTGGCCCGAGCGTTGTACCGAATGACGGTGCATCTGAAACAGAAAGAAGACTACAGTCCAACGAGGGGAAATCATCATTACCAACGGGTAAGACTAGGGCAAATAAGTCAAGACAGTGAAAGTTTAATTATCAACCGTGAACTGGCCTCCAGACGCGTAGCCGAACCGAAATATTCCTACTGCGCGATTATCATTACATTATCCACAAGTAGAGGTGTGATCACACCTAGTTGGCATGACACCGAGGCATGCGTGTACACACACACGTGTTCCAAATGGATACTGCGTTCTCGACTGTTTTTCGAGTACACACAAATACGACAATTAAGCAAACACACGACAGATAGAAAATTATATGGCGTGTCTGCCGAGGTCACGTTTTAATTGCGCAGTTGGTGCTACCACCAAGACAAAACCCTTTAGAGCCATCGAAATTCTCCACTTCTGCCCCGTTGACAGACAAATGCGGCAGCACGAGAAAGAGTGTAGTGGGAGACTAGGGGGTTAAGAGTAGGCCTCGGCGCGAAAAAGCAATTCGAATTCATAATGTGCACGCTCGCGGAACACAAAGCAATCATACTTAGTCAAAGAGAGCCGGACATGTGGATTTGCCTAAGCAGACCTGTGCAAACTACGGCGTGGTGAGGCAAACACGCCGATGCGAGATTATACGAGGCTGTGGTGACAGGCACAAAATGGGACAACACCACCACCACCACCACCACTATCAACAACAACAACAACACAAAAACCAACATAATGATGGCCCGTTTGTAAGCACATCGCAAACAAAAGGAAAATTAATTTGCGGGCTCAGCTTTGTTGGTGGCTGACAAGAAAGAGAACGAACGAGCTTGTCACAACAAACCTCAGTGGAATAAAAAAAGCCCGTAGTTGTGGGTGTCCAGTAGGCCTTGAGATTCGAGACGAAGTGGGTGAATCGCGGACTAGCAGTTAGCATTACCACGCGCACAGGCACTAGAGTCTGCTTTAGACTAATCCACTGACTCAGTAGTGACAAATTTAGGTTGAAATGACTAGGGCTAAGCTATAATAGGTTGTTCAGCATTCGGTAAAAAAATTGGAATATTTAGAGCACCATATATAGACGCATTCATGTTGTGATATAGCCCCTTTTTTAAGTGTCCAGGTTACTCGAAATTATGCGATTCACCCAAAGAGTAAGGTAGGCTTCAAGGCAGTGAGAAAACTGTTAAAGTGCACGAAGGATGTGACGGTGAAGGCTTACGTTAAATTGCACAGCCCTGGGAAGAGCCAGCGGACCAAAGCAGAGTGCTGTGGTGTGTAGGGCACCCAGTTTACCGACATTTGCATAAGAGCATCAAACATCAAAAATCCACGAGACCACAAGCATCGGGTTGACAAGACTTATAGTTAGAAGTAAAGGAAGTCATGATTCGGAAACGCAATTCTCAGTGAAATCTATTAAAATTAGTTAACGCAACATTTATAAACATTGGAGGCAAAAAATTAATACTTTTTACCCAAAAAATTGCAGTGTAAAGGCAAACATGTCCTTCGTGAGGTCAAAAATGCCAGGACGCGCAAGTGAACTTTACATTTGTGAAGAAATCAGCATCGCAAAAGGGCAATGCCTGCTGGCACGCAAAATAACTCTGGATGAGGATGAAGGGAATTTGAACATTAAAATCAAGTCAGAATTAAGAATACCACCGAATCATGGCAGTCAAGTATATTTAGGTGTTGCGGAGGGTTTAAAAGACAGTCAACACTGAACCTGGATGTTTACGTGCATCAAGATAAGGCTCCTTTCGTAAATTAATTGGCACATTTATTCCGGGACGCAAAGCAGATGGCATTTGGACTTTTACGATCACAAAACACAAAAAAAGTATTAATGAACTAGTGCCTACCTTTAATGGAACCTTGAAGATTTATTCATTTTTAGTTTACGTTACGACGGGCAGTGCGCACCTGTTTCACCATTTTAAACGACGACGTGTGGAATTCTACACGGCCTACAGACAAGCAATTTCTCAACTCATGAAGATTTGAGAGCCAAAATCAACAACATTAAACCATTAGGAAGCTTAAAACCGGATTCGATTCAGTGAAGCTCAACGCAAACGGCAGACGAAATTGCCGAAACACAATCACCACTAATCTACCATTTCAGTGAGTTGCCGACATCGTAATTGCACAATGAGTTCCGGATAACGCTCCACAATGCCCGGGTACATTGCGGTGAGGGCGTTCGCGGCGCGTCCATACTGGCATCGGTGGCAGTAGGCCCTCAGACTACGCCGATGGATCATACTGGCGAAACCAGGGAGTGAGGCCTGGTCCTCCTCGTCGCCTCGTCTGTCTGCGGCGCCAGACAACGACGATGACGACTCGGTGGTGGTTGAGCCGGCGTCGGCGAGAGTCGCCCAGCGGGAGAAGGCTCGTGCCGAGTCAATGTAGCCGTGGTGAACAAGGTAACCGGCGACAAGACTACAACGAAGAAGAAGTAGTATTGGAGCCGTCGTAAGCTGGTAGGTAGTGGAATCTAGATGGCTTAAGGAAAAGTTATCTGGTTAAAAGGGTCAGCCTTTTGACAAGAAACAGGATCAATCGTTTTGGGTTTGCTTCGGCTGAAAGGCACATTTTACCAGTAAATTCCACCATACCTGAGAAGCTTCAAATGGCGCATTCATGTAAAATGAAGCAATCCAAAGGCGAGAAAATTGTCTAATTAGAGAAAAATGTGAACAATTAGATGAAACAAACAACCAGAGATTGGCTACCTAAAGGGTGAGTCATGAAGGCTTTTTTTTTAAAAATGCTTACGTTTCTACTTATTTTCGTTTAAACACACTGATTTGAATTTTCAGATGGTGCACGAATGAAAAGTACTTTTTAACAACTAATACCGCTTGCTGCAACGTCCTTTTACTACCTAGTTGTGAAGTTTCCACTAAACAAAGACTAACATGTGTGTGAAGATACCTCGAAATGCAGTAACAAAACCTAGATACACACTACACTCTAAAGGCATCCGAATATGCGGTAACTGGATTCGTGCAAAGTGGAAACAGGAAACGCATCCGCATGCAATGTTTTCAGCTGTTTTTTTCCTGAATTATCTAAACAGTCTCAAATACGATTGTCACATCTACCGATGATTGACAAGCGTTTGAGCGTTTGCACATTAAATAAGGCAAAATTTACCTCGAGAATCAAGACTGATGTCGCAAAATTGAAATTATAGTCACTGATAACAGGCATAAAAGTAACCACAGGGAAAGTGCTATGATCAATAGCATAAAAACTACAATAAAGGATCTTGACTACGGGTGTTTGCAGTAAATTCTTCGAACGATCACTACTCGAACAGACGCAACACCGTTTGATTTCAGTAGAATGATGACCGACCATAGCTAAATTCACGAATGTATAAATATCGTCCGCACAAAGCCAGCATCTGGTACAAAAGCCAAGGAATGGTGGCTCACTTTAAAATCAACACGGCCCATGCATTTAAGGCAGTAATCTGTTAAAATGACCTGAAAAGTCATTCCATTACAAACAATATGGAACTCGAAGACCGCGAATTTGTAAGTATATTGTAGAAGAGCAACAGACTCGACATAGAAGTGAGATTTTGGTGAAAGATTAGGAAAAGTGAACAGCCTTAGGGCTACACAAGTAATTCGGGGCTAATAATGAATACCACTGAAGGCAAGGACAATTTCGAAATACCAAAAATGGTGCATGACAGGAACCCCAAGGACATTTCTAGGAGATACCAGCGAATCCCGTTCACATAAGCTTTGTTTTGCAAGAAGCATGAAGAACTGTGGTCCAGTTTAGGAAACCTTTTGAAATAAAGGAATCTGCAACAAGTCAAAGCACTTGAAACTAGCACAGATAATGCTAGTACGTGGATGATCAAACGTGTGCTAGGAGCTTGTGATGCGTATCTTTGATCATTCGGCACCTGGGAAATGCACATGATACGCAAATTACGCAGAGAAATTGGCATACAACTGGCCGTTTAGTAGGAAAACAAAAGAGCAACTTAAGATCGATCTATAAAAGGAAATCGCCACAAGAGTTTAGCTTTATGAATAAAGACGTGGCTACAGAACAGGAATCACATTTTGGGACTGATCACCTAGGCATTTAGAGCAAGAATCTGACTTCATAAGTAAAAACAAGAGACATTCCATTCCACGCTCCGATATAGAGATGAATTAACTTCCGCAGAATTCGCATTCCAGCAACGCTTTACATTTTACTAATAGTTATTGAAAGAATAACGATGAAAAGGCATACAACGGAATTATTTTCTACAATAAAAAAGTCCTCACATTGCAGTAACACTATTTAAACTATGCGTTTATTACTATGAAAGACGTCTGATCGACTAACCCTTGCTACTAAAAAATCACATTTTCGTGGCAAACCGTTATTGGTGCGAAAAACGAGGCACGTCAGCGTGCCTGGAAAACGCTCGTCAATTTGCTGTAGGTTCAATCAATTTTAGCACGGTTTCTGGTTGTGCATTTCGAATTTACACTTAAAATGTGTAAGATGCAAACCCACGACAGCTATCACGGCTTGAGCATAGGCTAGATGCACGTGGGCTCAGATTGCTCATGCTCTCGTTTGGCTGAACTGGCTACTGATGCGTTCTTGTGAAATGCCACACAACTCTGTCAAACTCGCCACGCGGATACGTCGTAGGCGCGGACACTTTGGAATACGCCCACTTAAGACTGGTCTAGAGACAACAAAGAATTAAGGACTACAATGTCACAAAGCACGTCATTATCCTGCCGTACGACGACAGAGTAGCAGTGTTAAAAAGGCATTCAATTGAATTTGCGTCTATTGACATTAGCTCTTGCTTGCGTAAGAGACGAGGGAGAGAGAGTAAAAGTTAGGAGAAAGAAGAGTGAAAAAACTTCCACATTCTGCTTCCAGCAAGCATTTTCTGAACTTTTTCCAACCCCTCCAAAACAGTAAACACTTTTAAGGAATGAGACCACGAAGAATTACAGAAACTGTGACAAATCTTTCGTAGCTTACTAGATAAATACTTGAGCGGCATTTCACAATTCACAACCCCCACCCCCCCGAAACGGTTTATAATGACACGATGCAGTGTACAGATATAGAACCTGCATTTGCAGAGACAAAGCATTGGTGTGGTTAAGAGGAAGCAGACGACAGCGTGATTAGTGCATAAAATTAAGCAAAAACAGATTATTTGGTGGTACGTAACAGCAACAAAAGCAGTGCTTATGAATTACAGATGCTAAAGCAAGCTTTGGCTTTTTTTATGTGTGAGTGTTCTTTAAAGTTGTACTATGACTAAAATTCCATTTCCGTGCAAGCATTGGAGACTTCACAGATCGCCTTGGTCACGTGTCTCAACTAACAATTTTCTGCAATCACGCTCCGGAACAAGCCACAATGCAAGAAACAGCTTTCGTATTGGCGAAAATAAAGCAGTAACAGACGGCTTGGAATTTTGGATGCTTTTCAATACGATTAGACCAAAAACGAGCGAAAGTTTGTTTCCAATAGTGAAATAAACAAGTGGCAGTTACCAGCAAACATTAGTGGCGAAGCTGTTACGCAGTAGATTCCCTTCCAAGCACGCAACAACGCTACTTGGAGATCTACTTAACAATAGAGTTTCCGTTTCAGTGAAAACAAATGCCCGCTAATAGTCACTGACGAAAACCAATGAGCGCAATAGAAAAAACCCCAGATAGCAACCACTTCGTCCAATTACTCTACGCGTTACTAATTTGGACATGCGTCAGGTCATCGACCCTGAGTTGAGGAGAAAAACATCATTGGGATTGACAATTCTCGTGCCCTTTCGCCAATACTCATACTCATTTGCGACCACTCTGTTTTGAAGAATACTGCCCTGCAAACGCGATGCAAAGTGGAATTTGACATCTTCGAAATATAATTTACATTGAATGAAATTTTAACAGCCACCTGGTGTTTTCATGGTGTCGTAAAAGTGGAAGTAAACACGGAAGGGGTAAACAATAAACAAACAAGGATGCAGGAATGAAAAGTTTTTGAAAATTACCAAGTCCGGTGGTTAAAAATCGAAATCGGAAATGTCGAAGACCATAAAATCGGGGCCACATAGTAGCGACAGGCTATAAAATTCCTTAAGGCAGCAATAACCCTTGTCTAGGCATTGTACGTAGATATTAAATCGCCAAGGACATTTAACAGAAATCGGCACAAACGTAAGGCCGAGAAAATTGTAGCGCGTAGTTCAGAGGCATGGCATTTGCATCTCGACTGCGTAAACACTGGAAGCAAGCAACTACGGCTTCAAGTAGGGTTCGCATAGGGACTGGCGGTCGAAAAAATAGCAGACTGTGTACGGAGGGGCAATTTGGTCGTAATTTTGATCAGACAGTATGGAGAAGAAAACAGATTGCGTTTCCAGAAAAAAACAACGTAAAAGGCATCTCTACAATGTTAATTTGATGCCTTCGATGATTTTTTTAACCATTTATTGATCTAGTGTGAAATATCTTGTTAAGACGCAATTAACAGTCGGTGGAATTCCACATGATCACAAATAGCTGCAGTGCTGGCGGAATCCTACCACAACAACCCATTAAAAAAACCAATTGCAAGATTCACCCTCTTCAGCATTACCCGAGGTAGTCACTCACTAACAACCCACGATTCGATCTAAACTTTTACACAGACTATGTTGCAACCATAAGAAAAAAATTCTGTTGCAAAATACTTCAAGCTACAAGGTTGTACAAAATTACCTACAAACTGCACAAATTCTTGCCGCGAATAAAACACAGCGCTGTTAGTTTATTCTTTCTGTGGGTCAATAAAGAGGAACAGCAAGGCTGGGCCCGTGTTCCGCCAAGCAGGCCAATTGAACATCTGATGTTGCCTTCACACAAACAAGGCCAAAATTATGCAGAAAAGAGTGATAGCAGATTTTTTTCAAGAGGACCCAAATCACACTTGCGTTTACGCGTTTACAAAGCCATCACCAGTAAGGCACAACGATCGAGATGTACTTGTAAGTCACGGCAACGCAAACACACACACACACATCGGACAAGCAGTCTGCGCAGCTGGCGAATGTGCATTCGCGTGTAAATTCATTGCAGGGAGAAGACTGACGTTGACGTAGCATTAGGCACGAGACCTGGTTGCTTTTCTAAATTACCCTAACGGCGTCACAGTCGTACGGAGAAGCAAGCCGTGGCTAAACTAACAGACCATCGTATACCAGGCTGGCATAAAAAAACTGAGGACGTTTACGATACGTCCCCCAAATCAATGCCGCAGACGGACAAAACAAATTAAACTTGCTAATATGCAAACCAGCGTTCCAGAAAGTTGCCTTCGCTAGCTTGCAATCACGCTAAACCCTTACTCTCGCATCTTGACGCTGAGGAAATCCTTGCTCAAGGATCCTATAAGGCGATTTTCGTGGGCTTCTCTCTCCTCCACGATGTGTCGTCTGAAGGGGTAGAGGAAGTGTTGGTCACCGAAATTGGTCGTCACGCGGCAACCCTGTCCGTCCAGTCCAATGGCGGGGTAGAGATCGACCAAGTTAGACACCTAAGGAGTGGCGGTCAAATAAAAACTCTAACAGAAGGCAGAAGTGCACAGAAGTAGCTAACAGTTAACACCACCACGTGGGTTACTACAAGCAGACAAGTAAAGGAACTTGAAATTTCGGTAGTTTTGCATTCCACAGCGAAACGCTTGAAATAAACAAAAGCCAACATGTGATCGACGCACGACGTGTCGTCAAAGAAAAACATTGTTTGGCACATCCATTTGCATGACCGTAGGATTTGCCATGGGAGGGCATCACCGTAATGCAACCAATCCCACCGGATCCGCGTTTTGGCTGAGCATAAGCTAGGCAGCAACTCCATTTTGTATAACGTAATCCAATAAAGGTGTAGCAACACTCAAAATTTTACGAGCCGTTTTCGTGCAGAAACGATGCAAGTAAAAAAATGAGTAAGAAAGGTTGATACAAAAAGTATAACCTGGGAATATTCTGTGGCTGGACTACTGAAAGAACAAGCGAATTAAAAATAAGGCTATCAATTATTCCAGCAATATATACACACAAAAAAGTACAAAGTAACAATGTAGACGTGTTGGCCAAAACGCTTTGTACGAAACCTGAGTAATCCCAGCTACGTAGGACCAGATATAGAGCGGCAATCTCACATAAATACAAATTAGGAAACCCAGTACTTGTTCAAGTTTGCAGCCTAAAAGAGCATATTCAATGGGTTCCTTATATTAAAAAACAAACAGGATAAAAAGCAATACAAGGGTAAGGAAGGAAATGACTTCCGAGGAAGTCAGTTCAGAACAAACGCTTACAGGCAACTTTCCTTCGAATGCCTTGCCCAAAAATTCGCCATTTCTGGTGAAAAAGAGTGACTTGGTTAGAAGATTAACTCCACAACCGATAACGTCTTTTTCGGCGAATTTCGGACCAAATGGATACGGAGTGGCGGAGTGGTACACGGATCCGTCATTGTGGTAGCCGAAGGAAGAGGAGTCCCACCCTAAAATGGTCGATGGTGGTTTAATGGTAGATCCCAAGAAATATGGCGAATTTAGTTGTCGTGATATGGAAAGATCTACGGACTTGGTAAGAGCACACATAAACTGGTGGTAAAAAGACATCTAAAAATTCATGTAAGAATATGCATGGGTTAATTAAAAAGTCCTTGGAGAAGCTAAGACAAGGTGAATGCAAATCATTTCTTTAATCGATTTCTTACCAAAGCGAAGTCAGAACTCACTAAAAACTAACAATCTGTCTTCATCTTATTGATTTTCGCCCCTTATAGTCATCATCTGGCTTCCAATAATTTTAAACGAATTAGAAAAAAACCGTCAAAGCCTTGCAAGACAGATAACGAAAACTCGAAAAATGTGAAATGACAAGCTTTTAGCCAAGGCATTCGACTCCTTTTTAGGACACACTCACAAATTAATCAAAAATACCTATTCAGAAAGAAATTATGCTATAAAAGAATGCTAAGGAGCTAATAAATTTAATCGCGACAGACCCCGCTACTGCGAAAATGTCTCAGATCATTAAACGTTTCAGAGTCGGCTTAACGCGAATGCTGCTAGGATATCACTGATGACTTCTCAAGATAGCCCCATTTTTCCCAATCATAGTGGATTTTTTACAAAAACCAGGAAAAAAGCGTGATGGCACAGGCGCAGTTATCAGCATGAGATAGCAAAGGTTTTAAAGGAATGAACTTGGGATTTCACGGAACTGAATAATAAATGTAAGAGCATCCTTACAGAGAACGCATTGAATAGAATCAGGAACACGCAAGTGGATAAACAAGTATGGTCAGAGAAAAAAGCATAGCTAAAGCAATTTGGAAGACTAAATTTGCTTATGTTCCCCCAAGAGGTACTATTAAGATAAGGAATAAATACGTAGAGGCTCCGCTTTATCTACAGGGAAACACTCCCAAAAAACATTTTCCTTGTTATTTATCCTAGTATTTGCCCACATATAGTGACGCAAATAAAGGCACAATGAATGAATTTCAATAAAATATCTCCCAAGCTACGTCAGTGGAGTAAGCGGTATTACCTGGAAACTTGCTTGCGCGTTTAGAGGCAACCCCGATTGCAAGAGTACTAAATTATAAAAGTTACAAAAGCCTGATCCTACCAATTTGAATTGAAGTTAGAGATGGTAGTTTCGAAGTAGTATATGCCGGCGCTAAGTGGTATCGGATGGTCTGCCTTTATTGTAGTTGGCTCACAATTCGAACCTAAGTAAAATTTTTTATTAAAACAGGGCAAATTACTATGGCGGGGGTTTGTGGACTCAGAGGTACAAGCAATCGTTAATCCACATTGTGACAATTTTATATTCGGTGATCGTTCCTTGGTGCCCCAGGATAGTGGCAGGGGTTGTAATGGATCTGATGTAAAAACACTTCGATAAATCTGTGCAATATTTGTTGAAGGATTTACAGAACCTGTCGGCTTTGTCGAATTCGCCATCTTGGGCCAGACAGCTGATACTCGTATAGGGCGCTATTACACCAGCAAACCATAAGTAACATTAAACACAAAAATCAATGTTCATTTTTTTCGTCCTATTTAAAACGCTTTTAAAAAAATTCTTTATGAGTATAACGTTTTAAGGAAAAGAAATTGCAACATAACGTAGAAATATCAGGAGCGTCTTGGACATAACCACAGAAACCCAAATAATTAGTAATTAAAATGGATAATTTTTGTCTATTATGCCCAATTCTGCTGATACCCAAATCATTACAAGATACACAAAGACTCTGAGTTGTAATACATGGGAGCTAAAGAAAAATTTGTCTTTTATTCCTCTGGAGGTTTAATTGAACGTTTTTGATTAATTAAATTGTCATCACGGGACTTCTAGTTTTTCTATTCCACAATAGGCATGACTATGACTTTGGCAAGATATGTAATGAATAGATTAGGAAATCTCATTCATGTTTTTTTCATTCGCACTTCAAACAAGCCTGAATTTTCTCGAAAATTTACCTAATTTTTGTTTAAATCTGTGATTAAAAATGATCCGATGAAAAGAAGTCTGCAGCTGGACATCCAAACGGTAAGTCAGAATTGGTGATTTCGTCATGCTAGCTGTATACGCAGGTTCATTAGCGCCTCGTACAAAATATTTGCCTTCCATAAAACTCCTTATTGTGCTCATGCCAATATTTTGCATAAAAGACCACGGCGACCGTATTTAGAAAATGCTTACCTTCACTAATACTTTCAAAATATCATCCAAAACACTCTATTTTCAAAAAGTGGTAAGATTTTGGTAATTTGAATTGATAGCTAATTTTTTGAACTTGCTATAAGCACGTGGTCTCGAACCACACCGGAGCCACTTAATTAACCCCGGCCCGATTACGTTTCCCCAATACCCGCGATTAGGAAAAAGGGTAAGGTGGACGTGACACAACCGTTTACTTCAGAGCTACACCTCGTTGGCGTTGTTGTATCTTGTTTGGGGTTTGCGTGCGCGTATTTATGCCTCGCACGTGTGAGTCATGCATGCGCTAACATCGAGACCTGGGTGTGAGGATAATCCAAGATAAATATTCGTGTGAATGAGGGGGGAGTTGAGGATCCGCTGTAGTGTGGCGACGTCTAAGGGTGCAGACATATTAGACCACCCGGCCTCAGCCAATCCTCTGTCTTCCTGCGTTCCAATGGCATGCGAGGAACATAGGCAGCTAACCAGAGGAAGACACGAATGAGGAGCAGTATATATGAGCGGCGTGACCAGCGTGGTGGATCGGATGGAAGACGTCTGACGTATGGCTCTGGCTTGTGATTAGTCAATAAAGCCTGTTCTATTGTATTAATCTTTTCCTTATTAGGGCTCGGGTATTTTACATTGGTGGCAGCGGATGCGTTCGAATAACGCGAACCGAACCCCAGCCCTTTCTCTTCTATGGTCAACAGAGGCAAAGACCCTTGAATGCCAGCTAAAGTTGTCATGGCGGTCATCCGATGTCCCATACACTGGATCCATAGACACTGCCCGGTATTAGGACAACTGTATCTGAAGAAGCATTGGCAACCCAGCGACGATGACATGTACCGTAGAAGCCAGCTGGACTGCAACTGCGAAGGAACCTACGATGGAGTTGGCGGCCTTCCTGGATGTCTTCAAGAGCATAGTCTTTCGTCAACTATTTGACGCAGACACGCAATTTTTCTCGAGCTATTGAACAGTAAAAATCAGATATTGTCCAAACACGTAAACCACCTAGACATGAACTATTTGTTAATTGCTGCAGTCTTAATGCCATATCTCAAAAAATGTTCTATTTTAAAATCCTGCAAATAAGCCTTTTTAAAATTGGGGCTAAATTGACTTACAACACTTTTTCATAACCACATCTTTTCTTAAACAATTTTTAGAGTTAATAGTGGCCGATTTTTTGTAGAATAGTATGCATCCTCTACTCATTAAAGTTAATATGCCGACCAGGAGATTCATCATCTGCAGTTTCAGGATACGATATTGAAACTTTAAAACCACAATTATGGTGCTTTTTCTATCATAGTGCATGATCGCATAGTAATATTATGCTACGCAGCACTCGCGACTGCTACATGTATGCCATTACGACTACATACAACTAGAAGAAAGTGTTGAAACATTACCATAGTTTTAAGATTGATGTTGCACTCTGACGCTAAGAAGATCGACAAAAGCTACATAAGTTGTACACTGCCCCGACCCGCCCCTTATCTCAATATATATGCTAAGAATTGTTCAGCTTTTGAACGACCGCACAGGATTGAAAAATAAGGTTTTACCCATATAAATGTTAAATTGATTGATTAATTTAGGTCAAATAGGGAAAGATTCTGGTAATTCCATTTATAATCTTGCAATTTTTTTACAGCACTTTACACCATCGCATCTTTCACAATAAGATTTTTGTACCTTCGATTAAGAAAGTTACCCGTAAGTCTGTCGAGAATAATGACGAATGCGTCTGTTCTGATTTGAGATTTAAAAAGCCTAGTGCAGCTATTTCTTTTTGAATAGGCTTCAATCAAAGTATTTATTACAATACCAGTAAATGCATCGCAAATTTCCAAATGCATGAACTAGCTTATTAACAATTTGACTCCTCAACCCGATGTAAGATCATCTTTAAATAATGCTAAACTGGATGTGGTAATGCTTGCCGTTGTCTTTGTTTTTTGGTTCACGCATCATCCAGAATTTTCGTACTGCATCTACAAAAAAACAAATGAGATTGCTTTCGCATGATTGAAATCAACGCTACATGTATGAGCGCATAGCTTAGCTGTTTCAATCTTAGTCGGTGCCATAAAAATCGCAAGAACAGAGCCTTGTAAAATGTAGATTGCACAATAAGAGATCGATGCTAATTTCCTTCCAGTGTTGTGAATCAATGACAGTCAAAAATTTCGTACGAATGGGTAGATATTTTAGAAATATACTCATTTTCCTGTATGTTATTGGTAGGATCCGAGTCAAGCTATTGACAGATGTTAATGACTGACATCCATAATTTTTTTGCATTTATCCTTCTATGGGTATCATTTTCGGGTATAATGCTTGAGGTCGAAAGTTTCTAACTACCACATACAATGCGCCTTTTCCTGCATTGGCTGCATCATTTAATTTGCCACCACAAGCATAATTCCTTTAAAAAAGTAATGTGCATTCTGGTACATTAGTGGAAGTCCTTCTGTATTAAAAAAAATAAATTTACTTTGTTTTTTATTTGTAAACGTCATTTCACTTCATCAGCAAAATTTTAACTGATTTTATCAAGTTACGTGAGGATGGAAATGCCTTTAGGTAAATTTATAAAGTACTAATTGATATGTTTAATGAGCCAATTAAAACTGAGATTGATTACTGCAATCTTTAGTTTTCTACTTATCTGCACTTTTAAAATATTGAAAGAAAACATGTTCTAGTTTAAACTTTCACAACAATGATTAGTTCTAACTGAACTGACATAATAAGTGTGTTTTGTATATTCAGTGAAATGACTGTTAATTTGGAAATGAGATACGCCACGCCCAAATTATTCAAATTTTTGTTTAAAATTGAGATAAGGCCTTAATTATGACTT